CTTTACTGCCTCAAAATCATCACCTCAAAAACTCTATTATCTGTGTGTGTGTGCAGCCTTTGTTTTGTACGTCCAGAGTTTACCTTTTTTCTCTGTGTGTGTTTGTGTGTGCAGCGCACCATCGGGTCACTCCGTATGCGTCTTTCCATTTAACTCCACAATGACAACATCTCATATCTGACTAATGCAATCTTGTGCTCACACAGGCTCCAGTGCCGTGCAAATTGTTTATGTCACAGCCGCCAACTTTGGATAAACGCGAGCGGCGTGATTGAAATCCATTGTCATTTTGAATAATGGGATTTGCCTGTATGAAGTGCTCTCAAGTGGCGTATTACTGTCACTGTTATCGCATCGTTTTCTTGGTCTCCAACTGTATGATCCAAACACACGTACACATTGGTGGAAACATAGTGTACGTACGATGGCACAGAAGCAATTGGAGCTCATGAAGTGTGTAATGGAGATTGTTTGACTCCTGATGACAGACTGCGAGTCATTGCAGCCCTGAATGATGCAGAGAAGAGAAACAAGGTTGTCCTCATTTCACATGATGATTGGAATATGAAATGACCTCCTGTCTTTGTCTGCCATGATGAAATATTTTGATATTACATTGTATTTTATCAATTGAGCGGTGGATTGGCTAAGTCCTCTCGGTAACATTTCCAACTGTTACTCAGGGACTGTGTTCCTCCTCGAAATCGTTCGCTGCAACAACCTTGGTTTAGGCAAGTGATGTAACTTATATGTAATCTCAGAAAAGACGTGCATCACAAGTCATCGGGGGGATAAGATCTCCTTTCTTTGAGCTCGGTTGAAAGAGGGTACAAGTGGGAAGGAGGGAAAAGTGAAGAAGGAAAGGGAGAGGTTTTGCAAACATCGAGGATCACGTAATCACAGACGATGCAAACGGGTGATGTAAGGGTGAAGACATCCCTGTGAGTGGCAGGTAGTTGTCCGGAATTTTTTTTCCTCCCTCACATATTTCTAAGATTGCCGTGTGAGGCAGGGAGAGAGATTGTAAAGAAATTGAGGAAGTTGCAAACTAGTATAATCCAACTTTTACCCTGTGATTTAAAGTAAAATAGTTTGTTTTTTTCCTTTTCCTTCTCTTGCCTGCTTTTAGGGGTTTGTAGATTGTCGACCATCATCTCACCCTATGCTTTGCCTTCTCCTCTGCAGCACTACACATATTCTTGTCCTTCTTTACAACAGCCACAGATCTGGGCAGATTTGAACCTAAAGACTTCTCACTATCTTGTTGAGTTTTTGAAGTAATGTATAAACCTGACTTTACTGTATCTAGATACAGCATCCCTGGTGAGAGCACATACTTCAGGAAGAAGTCCGTGTAATTATCGTGTACACACACGTAGCTGGATGGAGTAGTGCTGCTATTCTCCTGGGTTTGAGTCCCGTGGGCCACCTGTAGAACAAATATTTGAACTAGGAGCTACTTTAATGTTCTCGATGTGAAACCACACATCGAATGGCTAATGTGACTTTAATCATTGAGATCCATGGAAATTGCCTTTAATAGATTTCGGCACTTCAGTCTGCCTTCAGAGCGCGCAGATGAATCAACGCACATTTTGGAGACTCTTGTCCTCCTTTATTGCAGGTCGCTGCCTCTTCAGCAGCCATCCTCAACCTATTCAATCCATTAATTCCTGGACTGCAGCACTTCTGAGAAGTCGTAAAGTGAGTTAGACAAAGTCAAAGCACTCACGGGCTCTTTCCATTAAAGCTCCACACATCGATATCTGGGTTGTCCTGGAATACACTCCGACGGCTGCCCACAGATCCGCTGCATTGACTGCAATATGCAACTGATGGGGCAGTAACAGGCCTAATAAATGGACAATATGTTCATTTAAGTCCAGCCATTAACTTTTAACTGATGTATTAGAGCGCAGGAGACGCCCAACTTTGTTTTCAAGGTTGTTTAAGAACGCTTGTTCTCCTTTTATTTGAATTATGCATGGACTCACCTGCTATTGTCTATCCATTGCTCTTTTGTCATAATAAATAGAAGGCTTGTCAGACGGTGGGCTACACATTTATATTTTTTAAGTTCTACATGCCACATTTGCTCAAGTAGATGGTGCTCTGTGTTTTCTATAATGTGCTTCAGTTGTAAGATGCTTTTTTTTCTTGGCAAAGGGGATAAATTACCTTGTGGAGGGAGTATTGCTATTGATTCAAGTGGCATAGTAATTGCCGAGTGAATGGTCGGGTGCAGCCCTTGTTGGTTAGTATGAACGCATTGATTTTATTCTGCTCGTATGCTTTGAAATGCTCTCAATCAAATGAAAAACAAAGGGGAGGTTGTTTTTCACAAAGTCACAGAAGTGGTCGTCTGTCTGTCTCTCTGAGTCTCTGTTTGTGTTCGCTGCCTGCATGGGGCTACACACTGAATCTTTTTTTTCTTTTTCTTTTTTTTGTCCTTCATCTTTTTCTGCCGCCGGGCTGCAGATGAGTTTTATCTCCGCTCCATGACTGCCGTCCAAAGATAACACTGACCCAAGTCTTAATCTCCAATTAAAGACCTGTAACCAAAGTCATCTTTTCATTTAGCCAAAAGAGCCACTGATGCCTGGAGTTAAGTAAAGATTTTTTTTAACCAGCATCACAAGGTGTACCCATCATGCATTGCTCCTGCTATCTCACAATAGATTGTGTCCTCTAGGTCACACAATTGCCCCACAATTAGAAAAAACAATATACAAAATTATGGAAAGCACGACCTCAAAGATGAAGAATAACAGTTGAAGTGAAACCATGTGTGATGTGGTGACTTCTCTGTATTTAACTTGGGCTTGTTATATATACACATATAAGGTCTTTGTGTTTGACTGGAAAATGATGAATCACCTTGGGTCCTGTCAGCCGCCTGTCTTTTTTAACGACTTTGTAATTTCATAGTTCGTACTGTAGGCAGTCGTACAGGTTAGCTGGCAGCCACTGGTAAGACTATATGTTTCCACTAGCTACTCTGCTAAAGTCAGAGTTTTCTAAAATAAATATTCAGATCCAGACTTTTTTTGCAGTATAATGAGAGTTGTAAACTTTCCTGAGGCTGGCCAAGTTAGGAGGATAGAGACTGAATGTGTTTAGCTGTGAATGGAAAAAAAAGTAGGCAGACAGGCAGACATAGACGGTTGCCAAAAAAACGCAACATGAAAGTGCAATAGGACATTTGGACAGTGGATCTGTTCTCACTGTCCTTTCTTCATATTGACTTGTCTTTCACATCTATTCATTTACATCTGCTTTTCTAACTACTCAGCTTTTATTCTGCTGATCTTTTTCCCACTGTTTCCACTCGTGCTGATCCTATCAATAACCTCTGTTTCTGTAAGGTAGATGTCGAAAACAAGAATGGTTATTGTATATTATTATTTTTAGTATGATTTTACTTTTACATTTGCACAATTTACTTGCTTTACTTACTACATCTTTTCCATTAATAATAATATTAATAATTCCATTATTTGGATTAATCACTACCTCCTGTTTTATGTCTTTCTGTTTCCAGCAATATACAGGAAAAAAATGTTTTTTGTCGTATTAAGGAATGATGATTAATGTTGATTCATTTTTTACCTATTTAATAATATATGTGTGTGTGTGGAGGTATTTGTTTTTAGGCTATGGTTGATTTGCTACAAGGATCTCTGGAACAAAATAAAAATTAAGAACAACTTGAATAACTCCTACTTCAAGGTCTTTACTTCACAGATGTGGCTGTGAAGTTCCTTCTCCATTCAGACGTTCAGTGACAACTCCATCTCTCACTCGCTTGGCTGCTAAAGCCAAGCTGGTGTGACTAAAGTACTTAGTCACAGTTCTCCTCGGCAGCAGCCAGGCAGAGCTCCTGGGCCTGGCCCACAGCCTCACACCATCCTCTCTCTCCCATTCCCCTCTAATTTTGTCCAAACTTGGCACAGTTGATACAAACACTTGGCACGGCGGAGCATTAGCTTTAAGTTGTCTGTAAGGTATTCATTGGACGCACTGCTGTACAAACAATCAATTAAAACGAGGAGATAAACAATCCTAAAATACCTCATATGTCTGATGTCTCTACAGTTACAACCGTGTCACAGTAGATCGCACTTTTGTTTCCCCCGCAGCTCCTCCCTTCCTTTCCCCTCCACCCTCTTAAATCTCTGCTTTTTCATCATGTCCCTACAACAGTGTGCCACAGAGAGACTTGATAACACTCTGTTGACTCTGCTTGTTTAAGCCCTTGCTGGATAAAGTGTGTGTATCCCATCCTGCTCAATACTTGCTCCACCCTCACGCCAGTGCAGGACTCTGATAATGTCCCCACGCTCTTATCATACATTTGATAGGGCCAGTTAAGTCGGTAAACTAAGTGAAAATGGTCACATGATCAAAGAAAATGTAACTGTCTTTGGATATTTTATCTTGTCAGGAGACAGAAATCTGAAGCACACAAAGAGACTTTGAAATCACTCGATTGGCCGTTTTCCTGTCTTCTTTGCCTCTTTCTTTAACAGATGTGACAATACTGTAGCTTCCAGAGATATAAGCATTAGGGCAGTGTGTGTGCGTGAGTGTGTGTAATGAGCACTGCAGTCGTTAGCAGGGCAGGGAGGGGCGTTGTTGCTGTTCTGTACAGCAGGCGTGCAGGATGGCACAGATGGTGGTGGAATGAGACCGACACTGGCTGCAGATTTACACTTCTCTCTCAGGCGTCTATCAGTGTGACAGTGACTCGCTCTCTTTCTCTCTGTCTCTCTTCCTCTCTCTCTCTCTCCGTTTTCACCCACTCTGTCGTTTATCATTTGACAGTCTGAGCATAAGGCATCAGTGTCGTTGTAGCAAGACATATGATGCGGTGAGCTGTCTATTTTCAGATAGAGAATGTCTCAGGCTGCTCACAAAGCTGCCTTACCAAATGATAATTACTGTGTTAGTTTTACTTGGTATTAATATCATTGTCTCCTTGTTGCCTTCTCTGTTTTCAGATCGCACTGGGAAGCGCTCCACCATGCCCGACTCACCTGCGGATGTCAAGACACAGTCCAGGTTGACCCCCCCTACCATGCCACCCCCACCTAGCACACAGGGAGTGTCGCGAAACAGCTCCTACACCCCCACAACGTGTAAGTCAACTCCGATTAAAAGTCCTGGGTTATTTACAAAAAATTTACTATGACTTCCTTTTCTTGGCCTTTAGTTGGGTGTTTGCAAAAGCAGTGTGCAGAAGTGGCTGAGCATCAGTTGGGCAGACACAAAGGCATTAATAGTTAGCAAACACTGCTGCACGAAAGAAAATGTTTTGTATTTTTGTAGATGTTTAATATGTCATGTAAACCTACACCACAGTCAGCCTATAATAGAAGTGAGAAACACGAACATCTAATGTGACGGTGAAACCTAGCATACATTCCATCCACCTCAAACACCTCAATTAAAAACGTATTAATTGAAAATATATGTATGCGTCTAAATGTGTTAGCACATGCAAAAACAGCCATTAGAATTCGGTGAAAGCAAGAACACTGCGTGACCTCCTTGGCAAGTTGCACAGAGCTCCTCCTAAACTGCACCCGTTCCCACAACTCCTCCAACAAGTTCATTAATGCCCACGCGTACAAAACCCTTGGAGCTCTGCCATGATGCACACGTTTGATGAGCAAATTACACCCTAGTATTTACTTAGAAGTGCGTACTTAACCACTTGCATGAAGAGCACTCAGCTCAAAGAATTGAAGGCGACATGGTACAAAATCCTTAGCCTTAATTCCAGACAATAAAGAACATAATGTTGCTCCCAATCAGTGTCTTGCGTACAACTTTTTTCCTCTCCGTATTTGTCCCTTTCTTGCAAATGCCTGCACTCCACAATTAACTCCTGGTCTTCCGTATGATGAAGGAGAAACGACCCTGGCTCTCTCATTACGAATGCCAACGGTTTTAACAAAGCAGAGCGTTTGATTTCCACCCGACGTAATTGTTAGCAGATGCAGTTTGAGCATCTCGTCTCTCTTCTCTCTTCTTACAGTGGCGGCTTTGGACAGCGGCCAGAGGGGGAGTGAGCAGATCGCTAGTCAAAACCTAATCTCATTAGGGAGAAAGCTTTATGCCGCCTTGTATTTCTTTGTACACCAACTCCCTCAAAGACACACACATACATTCCAACACACACACTCTCACTACTTCTGTGCTCTAAAAACTAGAGGGGGGGTCAGACTGTTCCCCGCCTGTTTAGACTACAGGAAAGGAGCGCAGGGAGGAAAGAGGTGGAGAAAGACGGCATGTCTCCAAATGTAGAAATATGGTTTTTATGAGAGGATGCCGCAGAGGATCAAACAAGTCGCTGTGAGTGGAAACAAATGCTGCGTGTTGTGGATTTTTTTAGGGGAATGTAAATCGTTTAAATGGGTTCCATGAAGTTGATCCCTTAGATGCCCTTTGTTGATCCTACATTCAGGGTTATATTTGGTGATTCACACAAATCAAATGGGAAATATTTAGCATTGTCTGTTGTGTGTGTTTCCACTGAAATTATATTTCCCAAAAATTACCTGCTTTAAACCTGCTTTTTTTTTTTTTCACACAGTAACCAACGGTAGTAGCCACTCACCTACGGCGCTCAACGGCGCTCCATCTCCTCCAAATGGCTACAGCAACGGCCCCAGCTCCTCTTCTTCATCCTCGTTGGCCAACCAGCAGCTGCCGCCCGCCTGTGGCGCCCGGCAGCTCAGCAAACTCAAACGCTTCCTCACAACTCTACAGCAGTTTGGCAACGACATCTCACCAGAGATCGGCGAGAGGGTCCGCACGCTGGTACTTGGACTGGTGGTGAGTGTCAGTCGTTGCAGCTATATTATATTTTAATAACAGTAATAACAAAAACAGAGAAACCACTACAGTCATACAGTAAGACATACAACTAGTACTAGAGGCTACTTGATGAGGGAAGGTTAACTGACGTGGGGTGCAGTATTAGAGAAGATCAAGCACGGTGTCCTAGTTTACTTTTAAGCGGGGAGCTAAGCTTTATAAACAGGAATCACACCAGTTAGTTTGACACTTAGTCATTAAATGACTGACTTAACTTTGAAGCTCTACCTACTTTAAAGGATGTCTTTGAAAAGCACAAACACAGAGGACATATTTACAAGTTAAGTTTCTTTGGCACTTGGGAAATAAATTTAGAAATAAAATGAAACTAGACTCTGCTACCAGCAGTCATATTCAAGTTTAAAAATACAGAGCAAATAACCCAGATATTTACTGTGTGTCTCCAAAACCACCAACTTGACATTTTTAAAAATGCAGTTTGTTTTGATCAGCACGCACCAGAGATTTATTTATTATTAAAAAAAAGAAAACGGAGCCTGCAAACATCTAAATATAAACTGATGAAAGCAAACACTGACGAGACGTGACGGGTTTCAGCGGCTCACCTGACGGGGTTGATACCAAGGCTTTAACACCAGGAGCACTTGGTGTGGAATATAAGAGCAAGTGTTAATATGAACCACACGTCTGTGAGTGTAATCAACAAGGGAATAGAAAAATAATGACTGAACGTTGTGCAGAAAATAAGGAGGAGTAGGGGGAGGCAGAGGAGACGGGGGGCGGGGGGATTTTTTTTTTAATTAGCCACACAGAGCATAGCCTCCTTTCGGCTTTACTCTGTTTATTTTCCTCCTCGCCTGCACACGCAGTTGCGCACATGCCTCTCCTGTGTCCTTTTGCTTTGCATCCCCCCCCCCCTCTCTCTGTTGAAGTTTGTCTCTCTCTCAGTGTCCCTCGCCCTGCCTTATTAAGGAGTGACACTGTTAATTAGCTGGTTGTGTGTTGGTCGGAGGGAGAGAGAGGGAGACTCGGGAGATTTCACTCGCTGTCAAGAACAGCCCATACGCAATCTGGGCGAACAGATGTAAGGCTGAATGTAACAAAATTCAGGTCTGGGAAATAAGCCTGAGACATAGGAAGGAAAATAATATCCACAGCTTTTTTTCCTTCTTTTCTCTTCTGATTATATTATTTTTTCTTAGTAATGCTGTTTTTATCATTTGCATTTTTTTACTAACTCCTTTATCTATGCTTTTTTTTTTTTTTTGACACTGTCTATATTCACCAGGCAATTAGAGAAATTTAATTTATTGGACCTGAATTTGTCAGGCAGAAAGGTAAACAACTTTTTGTGTTAACACTGACCATCCCTCTTATTGGTTAAACTTGAACAAATTGATAAATCAATGCACGACCTTTGGTGGACCAGTGTCAGTCTCTTTTTGGACCATTTCAGTCTCACTTGACATCTGTTCCAACATTTTTTTTTTTTTTGGCGAGTGTGTTTATGTTTTTGTTGCATTTTTAGGAATTCTACAAACTTCCCCGTAAACTCTAGTTGAATGCAGAGTCTTTGTCTCCTGCACATTTGCTTTCACGCTGCAGTAATATGTTTTGGTCACCTTGGTCTTATCTGTGCTGTGATAAGAGGCAGACAGTTATTCAGCTGGCACTGATGGAGCGAGGAACCACTGGAGTGAAGCCGTACGGCACCTGTGTGACAGATTTTCATATAGCGTTTTGATAAGGACGAAGACGTGGAGGACGTCACGCGGCTGCATGTACACAACAATAGGCTTGGAGTGTGAAAAAAAAACAAAAAACTGTGCTGAGTGAAAATGATCTGAGACCATTCTTTATCATCAGATATCTGGATCAGACAGGAATCATAAATAAATCCTGCAACATTCATAGTTGATCCCATGTATAAAAAGCGTATTAAAAAGAAATATTTTCGATGGTGTGACTGCTGCGTTTGTATTTGTTTTGTTAATTGAAGCAGATGTGAGTCTTTGCTTTCTGTGGCTCTTCTCACCACGGCCTGAACATGTGCTTCGTATTAACCCAAACCCAAAACATTCACTGCGGGCCAGGCTATAGCTTAGCTTCCAATAAGTAATATTATCGCTTAATGCTTTCCACATGGATTCTTGTTTTTTTTTTTTTGTTTTTTTTTTTAACTTCATCTCGTTCTCTCTCCTCCAGAATTCCACGCTAACCATCGAGGAATTCCACTCCAAGCTCCAAGAAGCCACCAACTTCCCCCTGCGACCCTTTGTCATCCCATTTCTGAAGGTGAGTGTTTAATCTGGATTATGAATTAATAATAATCTCCCCACTTTTTGGGTCTCTCTCTCTATTTCTCTTTAATGCAGTGTTTTTCAACCTTGGGGTCAGGACACCACCTGGGTTTGCCTGGAAATCCAAACAGGGTTTCCTCAAATGTCTAGAAATTGATAAAAAATAGTGTAGATGTATAATGTTTGATTGAAAAATTACAAATATTTATTCAACTAATAATTATTTTTAAAAATGTATTTAAAAACACCCCACACAATCTTGAACATCTGGACTCTTCTCCTTTCATGAATATGAATCAAGTTCAAATAAAATGCATGTTGATTGACAGCTGTGATCACACGAATGGAAAGACTCTGGGGTTGCCACAAATTTGTGATGTCAAAATGGAGTCCAAGCCAAAAAAGGTTGGAAACCACTGCTTTAACGGTTTAGCGTTTTAAAACCAGAATCATTGTTTTTGTTTTTAACGTTTCCCTTTAATATTTGCCCTGGAAGGACTTTGTTTTCATACTTGTATCGAAACTCTATTCACATGTGCTGGAACAGCACGCCGTGACAGTGGTTTGGTCTGAGGACAACATTCCCTTCCATGTCCTTCCTTCCAGCCTCCTCCTTGTCTCTCTCTGTCTTATGATGTCCATACTTCCTCCCACTAACCCACATTTTGGGCAAGTATTCCTCATTTTGCAGCCATTAGCATGGTACATTACCACAGAGAAGAAGTCACTCATATCGTACACATTCATCCATGACTTTTCTTCTCCCCATTTGTCACCCGTCCTCGTGTCTCTCTCTGTGCACTTCACATCTCTTTATTCCAGTCTGGGAAAAACATAAAAGGAGATAAATAAAAATGTTGTTATTTCTATCTGTTTTAAATAGTCACATATCCTGGACGTCAGCAGGATTTCGGAAAGAAATTTGTTTTCCTTCAGTCATCTCCTCCGTGTCCCTGCCTCTTCCTCTTCACCTCTCCTTATCTGCCCCCTCCCTTATCTGTCCCCCTGTACCCGTCTTTATCTGTGTGTCTGGGTGACAGATAAGGAGGTGAATGTAATTTATGAAGATGAGACCGTTTGTTTTTTCCCAGAGTACAGTATCTAATGTCTAATTTTCTGCTTTCTGGTGTGACGTTTACCAGATTATAGTTCCTCTGTACCAACTGCTCCCAGTAGAGCACATCATTAGTGGCTGTAAACATCAACAGGGACAAACTGTGTCCTCTCTCTGTATCCTTACATCTGTCCCTTTATTGTCTCATTTCCATCATCTCCTTCTCCCTCCGTTCACCTTCTCCACTCGTTCTATCCCCACATCTTTGTCCCTTACTCTTTATCTGTTTATTTTCACTTTTCTCTCCCTCCATCCTCCCGTCCCTCCTTCCCCACTGCTCTCCTCGACAGATGGTTAGTGTATCACTGGGATGGCTGCAGAATCAAAGATGCTACTCTTTTTTTTTCCTCTCCTCCACTCCTTTTCCTCGCTCTGTCTTTTTCCCTCGCTCTTCCTCGCTTTGTCTCTGTCTCCCTCCCTCTCCCCATTCTAATTTTAGTGTCTTCTCACTGCGGGGCCTTTAATGCCAGCTACCATATGGTTGGGGGGGTGGATGGATGGAAGTGCGGTAGTGGTGGGACGGGGGGTTTATAGGTGCGCTGAAGCACAGCTGCAACAATGCGTGTCAGGGCTCGGAGTTTTTCATTACGCTAATGTTAGACTGAGACGACCCCTCCAGTCCCCCACCACCCGCACACCCACCCCTACTCAACTCCTTTCCCCTTCTCTTAATACTGAACCACAAATTGGTTGGGACTCTTTACTGGAAGAAAGCAATCATAAACCGCACGGCTACAGTGACGTGATGCGTTGGCGGAACGCCTGCCGCACGAGACACCAGACTTTGAGAAGTTACACGTTTCTTCAGTTTTTGGGTTAAAAAGTTGTGCCTTTTAAAAGCTGGACATAAAGTGTTTTATTTTCAAGTGCTCAGCAGAGGCAGGAGGAACAGTGAGGGATGCAAACTATACCTCGCAGTGATAGAATGTAATTGGACAATTGAACAATATAGATGTGCAGAAATGAAGTCACCTTGTTTCTCCTCTTGAAGCAAATTACACAGTAACAGTGTGGAACAATGATGAAGTGCTGCCCATCCTGGAAAAGGCATATTCTGAATTGTTTTTTGGCACCATTTGACAAAATGACACATCCAGCACATTCACAATACATCATTCTGAGCAGATTTTAGCTGAAGCTGCCGAACGAAAAGAACTTTAATTTTTTTCTACTCTGCAAGTCGATATTGGTTACTGTAACTACACCGAAGTTGGCCTGTGTACTTTATCATATGAAAAATGATCCAGTGGCTGCAGCGGTGTCTGCCCACTCAGACTTTTTGTTAATGCATCCCGTATCTCTGGCAATTAGGATGACCTCTAATTAATGAAAGAT